GTATACTGTATAAAATATATATATTTTTATAATTTCATATAATATTAAATATAATTTCATAAAAATGTTGGGAATTATGCAAACATGTAAATAAAATTAACCTAGAATACATTGCATTGCCAAAACGCACATACTTAATTAAATTGCAGCCTTTGATTTGATAATCGCACTTGGCTATTTTGCAATTTCAGTTTTATTTTGATTAATTGTGCACCCACATTTATTTATTTTAATTTGACATTTGGTTTAATTATAAGCTTTTCATCAACTTATGCACCCCGTTTGGGAATCCCTGTTGTAGACCTTATGTATTTTTCTCATTCTGTATTTGTGTTCTTTGACTATAGACTGCACTTCTGTGTTTGCAGTTGAAGTCCGGTGTGCCCATTATAGATTTGCCCTTCTGTGCTTGGTCCAATGGAAATTTGAGTCCAAACGTGCCGTTCTCTGGTGTTTCCATGGCTCAGATTCTCAGAGGCATTCCCTCATCCTCAGAGGGCAGTAGACACCTGAACGTCTATAAGAGCGATTCTCCAGAGTCTCCAGCAGAGAAACCCATCTCCACACCCTCACCGGTCATCGAGGTGCCCAAAAACCAGGATTACCCATCACCTCAACCTATTCCTGAAGGTAAGGCTGAGACAACATCATGAGAGTGCTAAGAGTTTTGTCTTTATTATTATTGTTATTTTTTTAGTACAGCCGTCTGATTCATTTCTTTGAATCGGTTCAGAGTTCTGATTCAAGGATTAATTTACATTAATATCTTCATGAGATGTTTAAAGACTCATTTTCGTGTGGCATTTTCATATTAAAAGTTTTAGGAAAAATATATGCAGTTTGTAAATGAATATTGTAAATATAACTGTATTATATATGTTTATGAAAGAAATCTCTTTTGCTCACCAAGGCTGCATTTATTTGACCAAATGCATAGTAAAAACAGTGATATTGTGAAATATTATTACAATTTACAGTTTTCTGTTACAATATATTTTAAAATGTAATTTATTGCTGTGATCAAAGCTGAATTTTCAGCATCATCACTCCAGTCTTCAGTGTCACATGATCCTTTAGAATTATCATTATTATTATTATGAAAACCGTTTTTGCTGCTTAATATTTTTGTGGAAACCTTGATACGTTTTTATTTTCAGGATTCCTTAAAGGGGTCATATGATGCGATTTCAATTCTTCCTTTCTCTTTGGAGTGTTACAAGCTCTTGGTGCATA